TTAAAAACACTGGTACCTGCAGACCATAAACATTGTCTAAACATTCTTTTCCAGGAAAACTCTTGGACTGTGACCAAGTGGTTTTAGAATAGTTTTATAATCCTGTATGATTACTTAAGTCTGTGAAGATCAGCATGTGGAGGCATACAAGCCAAAGTCAAAGCGTTTCCCTCAAGAGTCTTCCACTGGGTGGCACAGTAACTCTGTGAATGTTAAACTACGTCAGGAAAGTTTCCAGTGATCAAGACATCAGTAAATAGTACACAAACCTCTTTGCTGCACAAATAATATACGTAACTACAGTAGCATACTTCAAAGGCCAATCAAGGAATCAATGTCACTAATTTTTATATGTATAATAGAATTACTTTTCTTTTGACTTTTTAAATTTACTTCTCTGTAGTAAACCACCATCCTTGCTAAACATAAAAAGCATGGTTGTTTTCGAAATCCTTATTTCAAATGGACAGGGAAACCTTTGAGAAAAGAAAACACTGATGGTCTTGAACACAGCAAGAATAAAAAAGCAAGTGGTCATGTGTAATGACTAGCTATTTGACAAACAAATTTTAACTGCAGCTCAAAGACATTGGTTGCTTTTAATAGCATAAGATTGCATTTCGGGGCATCGAGTGGCGTACGTGGGTTTGAGCAGGCGCCCCATATGTAAGAGGCTACCAGTCCTCGGTTTGCAGCAGGCCCGGTTCGAATCCACATCAGACGGCCCTTTAACCTGCATGTCATTCCCTCTCTCTGCCCTCCACACTTTCCTGTCTCTCTCTCTACCTAATCCTGTCCAATAAAAGGCACAAAAGCCCAAAAAGATATACTTTAAATAAAAAAAGATTGCATTTCTGATAAGATAAAATATAATAGAAAAGAATAGGCAATAATAAGTTACTTCATTGAGGGTATATACACCATGCTTCTGAGAGTGATTTCTTCATGTGCATATTACCTTAGCAGCCTGGGTATATTTTCGAGCCATTATAAATCCCCCCATGCGCAGCACATCCTCCGTGCAGTAGTAGAACTCAGAGAAGCCGTAGAACTACTGTTGTGTATTCAATGCTGGCTGGTAGATACCGCTGAAGGGAGGTTTTGGGTCTCATTTGTGCGGTTTGAGGAACGGTTGGAAGATGCTGACGACACTGGTCAAAGTCTCCTGTGCCTCGCAGATACGAGGCTCTGTGAAATGACGAATCTCATGCTGCAGGTCTGTGGGGTAGACAAGGGTCCAGGAGGGGGGACTGCTGCCGACTCACCAATATGCTGATAAGAGAGCCTGGAAAAAATCGAGTAACAGTGTAAGTTTTAAATCCACACATAAACTGTGGGTATGCTACTGACTTCTGGAAAATCATTTGCAAAAAATCTATAAATAAGCGATTATATTTGGCTGTGGATCTACTTGATTTCGAGTGGCAGTATCTTCTGATGAGGTTTTCCTCATATCTTATGGGCGTGCTGCATTCCTGCCAAACCCCAGGAAGGTGACACATAAACCCACGAATAAACATGCTCTGTGCGAGTGCGTCACATCCGCAATTGAACTCTGCCAGTAAGTTCTTGGCAACTTCCTCCTAGGGAAATAAAGGAAATCAGGCCTGGGAAAGATGAACACACTGTTAATAAATTAATATTACTACATGACACAGAGCTGGCATTCAAAACATGAACTGGATACTACAGCTGGTCACACCTATGTTTTTGAGGCCACATTAACAGTAAGAGCTAAATATTGTCCATGTCCTAGTTTTGATGTATTTCACACATCAAAGAACGGAAGCTAAAAACTGCCATTACAAGGCAAGTGGGGAAATTCAGCTGAACTTCATGGGGTGTAAGAAACAACAATGGCAGCAAAAAGAACAAGCAGTGTATGCCAAACCCATACTATTAAATATAATCATGCAACACAAACAAAAATTCTTGACACTGAACAACTTCCCTTTGTATTTGATGGTCTCACATAAATGATTAATGTTTTCAGTCCTAAATCCTGCTAATGGAGTCATGCATGGCAGGCTTACAGTATGCCTTCAATAGTGATGAATGGAGAGCAGATTCAATTCACGGGACAAAAATGGTGCATACAGGTTTTAACCAGGGAATGACAGAGGTTGGAAGGAGGGGAAGAAAAAGGGTGAGTGACAAAACCAAAGACAGCACAAAACACAGATTGGTTGTGGATAAAATACACTGCTGTGGAGAAGCAAAGCTTACAGTTTTGGCATTCGGTAATGCGATCTTGGTAGAGACCCCGCCATGTCCAGGACACCGGCCAAGTCTTTTCTCACCAGCGTGCCTCCTGCTGACTCGCTGCCTGGAACATGTACCTCCACTACAGCTTCCCATCTTGTATGATTGACAAGAGAAAGGTGAAGACAAGTCAGGCAGGGAAGGTTCAAACATGTAACGTATTACTGTGCATGCCTAAAGACTTGTTATCCCACAAGATTTGTATTGGTTACTTGTAACACATTAGCAATTCAATTTGCAAATGAAAGCAAAGCAAAAATTAACCTTTTAGAATAATATGCCCAGTGAAGATATTACCTGCTTGGGTCCTTACATTGTGCACATGGTTAAACCTTCCCAGGACAAAGTTTATTCCAATCCAAGCATAAACTCCTCAAACCAAGTTGGAACCAACTTTCAGAATTATTACACAAACTTTTAATCAGCATTTTCAATGCTGCACTGGGTTTTAAATATACAGTAGGTCTACAATCAGGAAAGGAATCAACATCCCCTTCTTGCGCAATGCAAATTCATTTCCCTATTAAGTTGGGTGTGCAGGTAAACAGGTATAACTGGCAGGAAATTTCTGTCTGCACCCCAGAAGTAATGAATCAAATAATCATCATTATATATCTTAAAATGCTATAACATAAATACTTTATATTCATAATAAGTTTTCATTTCAGCTTCATAAGTCATAAAGCTGAAACTAATGTGTGCAACTGCAATAGAATTTAATTACAGAATAGAAATGCCAATTTTAGTTTAATTCCAGTCTTTTTTATTATTCCTTTTATTTTTACCTTCTCCTGTTTTCCAGAAATCACTTCTCATGGGAAACTCAGAGAAGAGGAAGTTGAAGTGTGGACTGGATGTCTGTGCGGGCAGATCTTCAAGAAGTGCTTCCTTGTTGACTGAGATTAACAAAGAGCAACAACTTCATAATCAATAATGGTTTTCCCCTTTTCCAATATAACTCACTCACTCAGTGGGTTGTTTAATAAACACGAGATCGAACATATCATGCCGTCCTTATTTACATCTTGCACGGTTTTCTCTTCAGGCCCAACTTACTTTCAGGAGAAGGATTCTCAATTCCCAGCTGTGCAGAGGATATACAAGGGTGTTTCTTGGTGCTTATTTTTGGGAATGTGTTGGGCTTGCAAAGCTGAGCAGTGGATATAATATAATTAATGGCTTTCTCTGGTGTTTTTAGCCCAATTCAGAGATACCTACGAATCCACGGAGGAAAACACTAACGACCCAAACATGTTGTTTTTAGGTTAGGCAAATAACAGGCTAATCTTACAATGGTTTGTCTCACATTATATTTCATAATTTGAGCTTTAAACAAACAGTGCTAAATTGTGCTGAAATATTGCTACACTCTCATTTACATAAACGTTTTTGATTAGTGAGAGCTAAGCGACTGGGAAGCTTACCGTTTGATCTTCATGACCACTGGCTTTGCCGGTGTTGATTGCTCGCATTTGCCGGATGTCTAGAAGTTTCATGGGGATTACCATTGGGTGCGTGGCAGCAGTACACGAATACCCTAAGAGCCACTGCTGCACACAGTCTACCACTAGGCCATAGTTCAGGTTTGGGTTGCTTGTTATCCGTTTGCATCACATCCGTCACCCTTGCCCAAGTGCCTTATATGAACCCACAAAGAATTGTTAACGTTGACAGTAATATTGCCTGTGTTCATATGACATAACACTTACACACAGCTGTAAGGTCACTAGTGGAGTGATTCTTTTCTGATCCAGCTGCGTGTCCCTTTCCAGTGCCAAGCAGCAAAGTAAAGGTAGTCCTTACGAGGCAGACACCAGGCGCGATGAAGAGCAAGCTGTTGAAGGGAAGGTGTCGCAGGAGCCGAGAAGAACCTGGGATGACAGGCTTGAAATGCCACGAGGCTTGGGAAAGGCACGAAAGCCTGATCTGTCAGCAGGTAAAAGAAAGAAGGAGCTCAGCAAAGAGTTCTTCAAACCAAATGGTGTGTGATCAAACTACATTACCACAAATGACACCAAACAAACCTGTCCATGTGGCTGATTTGTCTTCAAATTTGAGGGTTTACTTAAACGTAAGTCCTTAATCGGTCGGTTGAAGAAA